TAAAGGTGAACAGGCCTCATTTCCTGTGGTTTGGAAAGCCATATGTCCCTCTTCCTTGGCACCCATGAAGGGGGAACACGGCCCACACAGGGACCCTGTATCTGAGGCCCAGGAATAGCTGCTCAGAGAACACTTTCCTGCCAGTGGGGGGTACTCTCAGTGCTGTCCAGTTTGCAGCATCTCAACATCAGCACTGCCTTCAGCGTGGTCCAGTAACAAAGAAGAAACAGGACTGAGGGCACAAAGGCTACAACAGAGCAGGAGCCCCACTGAGCAGGTGCGGCTACCTGCACCAGCTGTGGAGGCAGAATCCAGTCTCCGGCAAATTCTATTTCCTGAAGGATGTTCCTGCCCTCCCTGGCTGCATGCATGAGGGACCGATCTGCCAACACCTCTCTCTATGCTCTCAGAGGACAAGAGAGCTGGAGGTTTAGGAGACCCTTTTGCCAGGACACCTGCCTGCCAGCCACCTCTCTAGTTGGCCAGGTACATGGTATATACAGAGTTTCAATCAGATTATGAGGCTGTAAAGGACCAGGCAACGTTTCACTCTGTGATACATAGAAGTCACCAGGAATCAGAACCACAGTATCGTCAGCTTAGCCACATTTGGCCTCCGAGGTATGTGGACCTGTTTCAAGCCTTTGATCAGTGTTGCTGTTGGGTACTGCTAACTTGACTTTGACTCATATTGAACTGCCCCATAGGGTTTTCATGACTCTAACCTTGATGGTAGCAGAGCACCAGAGTTTTCTCCTGCAGAGCCACTGGGTGGGTTTGAACTGCCAGGTGTTTAACTGTTGTACCACTAGTGTTGGTACAGAGAGTAAGACAACAACCCTCTTCTCACAAGGAGGAAGTTTTCAATACAAGTTGCAGGAAAAGAAAAGTCAGTACAAAGTCACTGAGAAATTTCTGAAATTGGTTAAATGCAGATTTCTGTAAACACTTGAAACCGGGGAGATTTTTTTTTTTTCTTTCCAATAATTCAGCATTCCCACAAACAAACAAGAATTCACATCTATTTTCTTACTTCTTTGGTAGGTATTAACAAACAATTGCTTTGAATTCATAGAAAACAACAAAGTTAAAAAAAAAAATCCATGTTTTATTTATTGCATCAAAGATGATTTGTTGTTGTTAAGTGCTATGAAGTAGGTTCTGACTCAGAGACCCTGTATAGGGTTTTCAAGGAACAAGTTGTTGAGTTTGAACCACTGAATTTGTGATTCAGATGGACCTTGCAGTCCAATGCTTTACCCCACAGTGCCACCCTGGGGCTCCATCAAAGATGATACTAAAGCTCAATTAAAACAAAAAGGAGCAAACTTCACCTGTGGCAGCCCAGGCAAGAGGTTTAATGAAATGTGTTAAGGGGAAGTGTTACAAAAATCTAATATTATGGGTTAGCATCAAGATGGGGTAGCAGCCCACCAATCTTGGGCATTGCTAACACTAACCCTTGCAAAGAACTGAAACTGAACTATAGCCCTGCTATGTGCACACATATATCAAGGAAAGGGGTGTGTTACGTCAGGAACCAGTGATAGAGAAGTCTTAACTCTCTGTACACCTTGATGTCAGACACATATCAGAAGTATGCTAAAGAGGACAATAGGCTGCTTGTGGGACTCGCAGCTGTCTTAACAGTAAGGACGAGAGAAGCAAAGCTCACTGGGTCGACGCTGCTGTGGGCTCAGGAATCCTGCAGCCAGCAGTGAGCAGAGTCCAGGAAGCACGCCAGTCTAGGACCCGTGTTCTCGTGTCCCAAGTGCTTACTTCAGTTACACTTTTCTTTCCCACTTGGTGTTTGTTCTCCCTTCTCGGTGACTCCTTGAAGGCCTGACCAACAAACCCCGTGTCCTATTCCAAAGGGTGAACCTCAACACAAAGAGCTATTGCTCTGAGATGTCACACAGCACCTTCTGAAAGAAGAGCAGTCAGGCTTGACCTGAAGTACTTGGTTAAGAATTCTATTTTCTCTCTCCTGGATGAATATTTACTCATGAGATCACTCTGGAAGCAGTCCTAGTCAAAGTTAAGACTGACATTTATAGAACATCTTTCATCAATGTGTTTACGGGTCAATGAATGTCTTAGTGTTGCGTGGGGATAGTTTGACCACGACTTTCACAGATGGTGAAAGCAGACAAGATAAAGGCAGGCAGCCATGAGGACCAAGCATGGTGCCCAAGAAAACACACCCAACGCTGTACGCAACGCTGCTCAAGGAGGAAGATACACAGAACCTTCCTGAGCCTTACGTCCAAAACAATGGTGGCTTTGAAGAGGGCTGTTTGCAAACAGTGAACATGAGCTATTTTGCATCCAAATCATTTCAGAGGCTGAATGATGGCACTGAAGCATTTATTGTATTTCCATTAATGAGAAGTGCATTTCCATAGAAGCAGGTGGGAAAAGCAAGATGATTTTGAGATAGCAGTGGCCACTGTAGTTTGGACCAGTCATGAGAGTCACTGACTGGTTCTCTAACTATTGGATTCAAGAGCTCTTGCAAAAAGGGGAGAAAAAAAGTTTAAATTCACAGACAGGGCACAGGAGTATCTGAGAACTTTCCTGGCTGTTGGTACAAAGCCATGGAAAACAAATGGTCTCATGAACACATTGTCACCATGATACTCACATAGCCAACTTCCAGACGTGGTCAACAGGTGCTCCCTCCACAAAGGACTTGGAGAAAGGCCTATTAAGCAGAGGAGTGAAAAAGAGCCAGGCTGGACTCTCCCTTAAACAGACATTGGGAACAGTAAAAGGCCACAGGTAAAAAGGTAGATGAGGCATTGTGAGACAATGCATATAAGCCCTTATTGTTCAGAAGAGCAAAATGCAGACACCAACCAACCAACCCACTCCCAACTTCTCTCTTAATTCCTCCACATAGCAGCTTTAGAGCAAAATTATGTTTAAATAGTACATGTTTAAAAAAGGAATCTCCGGGTGATGCAAATGGTCAAGACGCTTGGCTGCCAACCAGAAGGTTGGAGGTTCAAGTCCACCCGGAGGTGCCTTGGAAGAAAGACCTGGCCATCTTCTTCAGGGAAATTAGTCACTGAAAACACTATGTGTCAGAGGGGTTGCCATGAGTCACAGTTGAACTGACAACATCGGGTCTGTTTAGCAAAGGGTTCTTGGATGGGTTCATACCAGCCCAAGTGGGTGTGTTGACTCATGGATTTTTGGCCTGTCATCAACTCGCATGGGGAAGATGCAATTCCGAGAGCACATGAAGGCTTAGCACTGTGGCCCCTCTCAGCCAAATCCCTTTACTCAGCATGTGGCTCTGAGAATGTGGGTGCCTCTGCACTGGGGGTGAGTCTGGCAGCTAGAGCAGGTCTGCGCGCCTGGACTTTAACTCCTTCACCCTTGCCTTCTTGTGCAGAGCAAGGAAAACGTGACACTTCTCAGGTTAAAGATTTTCTTCAGGGGGTCAAGACAGTGAGACAGAGCTTTGTGCTCTGCAAAATGAAGGGACAAATAGCACTGCTTTCAGCAAGTTCATTTCTCAAAGTCTATTAATTGGGGACCCACCACTTGTCACGGAAACATCGATGTGGCTGATGCAACTAGTAGCATAGTAAAAACAATGCTCTTGTGGTTTATTTCTATTGATCACTCGGAAAGGTTAAGACCATAGGACACATGTATCTGTAAGCTCTCTAAAATACACATGGTTTTCTTTTTCCTTCTAGCTCAGTGGTTAAAGTGCTCAGCTGCTAACCTAGAGGTGTACAGACAGCCAACCTGTGGGGAAAGATGTGGCGGTGTGCTTTTGTAAAGATTTACAGCCTTCGAAGACCTCTGGGGGCAACTCTACTCTGTTCTACAGGGTCCATAGGAGTCCAAACTGACTCGATGGCACAAAGCATATAAAATATAAACATACACATTTCTGTCAACCCAACGCCACCTGAAAAATACAGTGACTGCTTTTACACAATGGAAAATACCAATAAGAGACAAAGAAATGAGCATACTTGGACACACACCTGACGGGCTTTCACGTGAACTGTTTTATTTAGAACAGAGATCCATCGGAGGTGGTGAACTACAGGGTAAACATTCTAGTACACAGATGGAAGTTAAGACTCACCAGCACCTCACATGTGACTAAAAGACAATGTCAGCAACACACCGTGGAAGGAGAACAAGTCCAATGTACAAGGCACCTGGCTGTGGGGGCAGCCCCGTGTCCACTGCCCCTGTAACAGGCTCACTCTGTGCACTGGGGTTCAGTCCTGGACACGGGAGGCTTGGGATAGAACAAAGACAGTTCAGATCTGAAGTCCAGGATTCTATGCCGGTAAGTAACATTTCTTCAGACTGGTTTACACCCTCCATGTGGCTTAAGGTTTTAAAAGGGAGCCAAACTGGGATGTTAAACAGTAACACAAAGCCTCTTTCCCCCACCCCCACTCCTTTCCCCGCCAAATATGAAAGGGAAGTGGCCCTCCCCGAATAGCAATTCCATCAGTGGTTTCTGAAGGCCTGTAAGCATCCTAAACTTTAAAACAAGTAACAGCAACAACAGAAAGGCAGAAACATGGTCTGAACTGAAACAAGTCACCCAAACGGAAAGGAGAACTGGGAATGCATCCACACACAAACAGCTGATGTCTTGTCCGAGTGAAGACGTGTCAGATGCATCCATGACACACTCAGGTGCAAAGCTGCACTCGGCTACTATGAGTGACCAGCTGTCTTTCCCTTCAAACACTGTACTGCTACCAGTGACCATGCCGAGTGCTGAAGTTGGGAGAGACCCTAAATTGGCACAGGACCCCAGGCTGTGATCTGCCTGGTGTGGCCAGGTCTGTGGGAAACAAGACTTATACTTTCAAATAACAACACCCCCAAAAGTCCCCTCTCCTTTTGCTGTTTGCTCGGTGTGTTTTGACCTCCTAACAGGGAGGTCCAAACAAATTCCATGTCCCTCTCGGTTCTAGGCACTCTCTGGAACATCTCTGATTGACCAGGGTCTTTCATTTCTTTCCAACTCCGTTGGTGACTTTCGACTTGGAATGCCGGTTCCTTCGTCTGGAAGAATGGCTCTCGTTGTTGCCTGAATGCTTGGGTGGGCTGTCTTCAGAACCTGGCCAAAGGAATGAAAACACATGGTCACCTTGGGCTGCTTGGGCCCACCGGCTCGCTCCTGTGAGCTATGATTTCCCAGGCAGAGCATCCCACGCTTTGGTCCAGGTAGATTCTTCCAGTGATGCTTGTACTCCATCTAGTGGCCTTGTCAATACATTAAGACAGGGCATTCAGAAACACCAGGCACCAACTAGTTCTGCTGGTGCCTCAGGTATGCAAGGAACCACCTCAGACATTTCTGAGATGGCTCCTGAAGCATTTCTCCACCCACAGTGTGAAGGAGGCAGTGGCCATGTGGACCAGAAAAGAGCACGAATGAGGGACAATTAAAATGTAACCACAATGGGTTTCCCTCCTCTATCCCTGTAGTCAAAGGAGGCAAGGCTTTGGCTTCTACCTCTTGGCCTGCTATACCACACATCAGGAGAGTTACTGGGTCCACAGTGGAGTCTGCTCCTCACTAAGCCCACTCTGTCTGTGCAAGATTCTGAGTTAACATTCACAGTCAATAGTACTCATGACTTCCCCCGATTCCAGTCTCCTCCTCAGCTCACAGGAACTGGCTGAGCAGCACTGCCCAGTGGGGCCACCTTAGGGCCATTATTCCACAGGCAGAGTTCTTGGATCAGACAGCTCCAGATCTTTCCAAAGGGCTCTTTAGAGCAGGGGACAGTGGAAGATTCCTGAGTCCACTACTGGAATCCGTCTTATACTGACCAGCCTCTTGAATAAATGCAATTGAACTAAGCTACCTTTTCTGAAAGGCTCTCTTCCTGGTAGACAGTTCTCTCTGACCCTTTTTCTCATGAAGAAAGCCAAGAGGATGAACATGCTGAGGCACCGGTCTTGAGATAGTATTGGCCACCTTGTAGAAGGCACAGCAGCGGTGGGTGGACCTCTTTCAACAAGCAAGTCTCTTAGGCACATCTTGCGAGCACTTGGCATGTTTCTTAAGTAACATGTTTCTTAAGTAACAGGAGACATTGATGGGTAGGACTGAACTCACTCAGGTGCTACAAGGTCCACATTCAGAACAGAAACACGGATTCTGGTCAAAGTTTTAAATCATAAATACAAAAAAGATACCTTTTGTGCCCTTCCCGTGAGGCCAGGAGATGTCTGGGCTGTAGGTACCATCCTCACACTCTGAATAGGTCTGGGGAGAGAAAGTGACTGAGGTCAGAATCTCAAGTCCTCTCTAGGAGGAGGAGGGACAGGGCAGGGCACAGAGGATGCACTAGCAAGTGACAGAACTGCCCCATGCTTCGATATCCCTGCTATCTCCCAAGGTGAACCCAGTGGTGCAGGACAGCTCTTCTAGAAAGTGCCTTTTGCTCCTGAAGATTAAAAGTATGAAGAAAGGTGGAAAGATATTATCTTGACTCTAAAACACACTACAGTTGGTGAGATTTCAATAGTGTTGTAAGCCCTTTCATGTTCAGTCCTGATTTTAACCTTTGTCACTACTCTGAAGTGGGCTAGGCAGGCATGACCTACGTTTTATAGGTGGGAAACCTGGGTGGAAACAGATGAAGAGGCTTCTGCACCAAGAGGAAGATCTGAGAATAAAACCCAGGCTCCCCCAAATTGGATCCAGTACTTTCCCTACAATTTTTTAAAAAACAAATATATAATTACAACTTAAACCCTTTACAGAAGGAGAATAAAATGGCTGATCTATTGAACAGGGCAGCTATGAGCAAGGGCAGTAACTGACAAGGAAGGAATTCTGAAACGGTTCTGTTTCTATGGTGTAAGACAGGAGGGGCTCCCACAGTGCCACTACGCCCGCCCACCACATTTGTAGTGAGTTTGCTCTGGCCTAAAGCTCCAAGCAGGAGGCGGTTATTTTAAGACAGACCATCTCTGTCTTTCCTTCTTTACCTTTTCCCGGTGGCCATAGTGTTCTGCATACCACACCATGCCATACAAACACAAGAAAGTGGTGAAAGCCTGGAAGAAAAAAAAGCACACGTTGTAGATGCTGCCACACATGCAACCCACTTCCTACAACAACCGCACTTCAGTGGGAATTCACCTAAGAGGGCTCAGTGCGCTTTGCCATCTCTCCTAGGGCACTGGTTACAAAGTGGCCAGATGACGCAGACTGTAACTGAGGGAGAGAAGGCAAGCACCCCCAGAGTTTCCCACAAGTCTCATGTAAGAGCACAATTACTACTGTGACTCAGTGTCAGGTGGCACCAGTGGGATACGATGGGTTGCATTTTACCAGGTTTGCAGGTTCTTTTAAAGAGGACATAAAAGGATTTCATACTGCATCTCTGCTGTTTGCAGCCTATTTCCCCTCCCCTCAGGAACACAGAGCTCCTGATATTCCTAGATTCAAGTTTGAGGGATAGCTATAGAGGCCTCGTTAATGCCCTGTAGGATAAGCACTGGACTGCTAACCGTAAAGTCGGTGGTTCAAACCCACCAGTCACTCCTTGGAAACCCTATAAAGGGTCACTGTAAGTCGGAACTGACTCCACAGTACAACAATAGCATAGATATAAGGGGATCCCTGGTAGCACAGTGGGTTACGAGTTGGGCTACAAATGTCAGGGTCAGCAGTTCAAATCTACCAGTCGTGTTGGGAAAAAGATGAGGCTTTCTGCTCCCATAAAGATTTACAGCCTCAGAAACCCTGTACAGGGTCACTATGAGTCGGAACCGACTCCACAGTACTTAACAACAACAACATTTTCTAGTACTTGCTCAGATTTCTAATATACACCAACATTCAAAGTGCCAATTTTATGGTATGGGGACAGTGGAAAGACCCCAAAAAATGTCAAATGTCACTCTGGGAAGTGGGGGAGGGTGAATCCCACCATCCTAAAACCAGTCGGTGGCGTTGGGTTTAGTGTGGAGTTTAGATCAAGCTGAGCAAGAGACCAGTGATAGCTGGCTGGACTGTCACTGCGAATTCTGCACACCAGAGGGCAGGCACGTGCAGCAAATACAGGCCCTTCCCTGGCCCCGATGGCTGGCAGCTGGGGCTCCCTCCCAGCAGCACAGGGGCAGACAGGTGCTCTGCAGACAGGTGCTTATCATCACAATCCCCACAAAGAGGAGCTGCGGTGGCTGCCAAATTTACCACTTCCCCTGAGAGGAAAAGAGGCCCATTTTACACTGGTCCCAGGAGACAAAAGCTTGTCGCTTGTGGGTTTGCCTTGACCCCTGTGGAAATCTAGGTAGGTACCCACTTAAAATGTCAAGGAGACTCTGGCTTTAACATAGCAAGTGTACAGCTTTTGTTTAACGAAGACGGGGGGTGGGAGGGAGTTGTGTGGGATGAGAGCCAGGCCACCCACCACACAGGATGCCACAGTGATGAGGTACAAGCACTCAAATCCAAGTCTCATGATCAGAAACCAGCAGCCTGAGCAGCTTAGGGACTAGCAAGAGGGAACTTGGCTTCCACATAAATCCTCAACTCCAAATATGTTCAAGAGAGATGGCTGGGGCTTTGTATCTCCGAGTAGTGTGCAGAGGCATTGCGGAACATGACGCTGTACTTTTCCTGAGTAACGGTCTCTCACCTGTGTCTGAGACCCATCTTGCTCTCTACAAAAGGCCAAGGATGTGGAAAAGCGCTGAGACTTTGTTTCCCTTTGTTTTTAACTCATAAATGGGAGGGACCTCTGATTATCCCATCCAATCAGGGGATGGATTCCACTGTCTTCCAAGTTCTGTTCTCCATGACTGCTGCTTCTCTGTGGCCGCTGCAGGGGCTCTTGTTGCGGCTCCTCTTCCTTGACCTGTCCTCCAAACACAGCTGCTCCAAAGAATTCCAACCGCAGCCGGCTTCTCTTCCCACAGTAAGCTCTCCCTGACTGACCTAACACCACAGCTCCCACTGTACCCTACATACCATACCAGTGGCTCCCCTATCTTCACCTCCAGCTGACCGAGTCTTCCCACTGGTACTGGACAGACAGACCAACATTTTCAGAGATACGGTGCACCTTCAACCTACATGTTTTAATGTTCCTCCAACCCCAATTCTCTTGAACCAAATATATCTCCTCCATCAATTAAGCCATGACAGCTACTCAGATGCACACACTTTAGAGTCACCCTCATGTCCCTCTCTTGTATCACATAGGGAATGATGTCCAGCTGAGTGACCTCTTGACCAGTTTTTAAAACCATCCCTTTCTCTGCTTCTTCGATGCCTCTGCCGGCTCCGCCTCAGCTATTTCTCACTCAGGACCCCAGCATTCCCTGACTGCACCACCACCTCCAATGCATCTTCTCTGCTAGATGGACCCGCCCCACACATTTCACCCTGACACGTAGGTAAGACCACGCTCAATGCTTTCCCAGTAAAAGGAAGACCGTCTTTGGGTCTCCAACCACAGACACATGAAGTCCTTCACAGGGGTGTGCCCAACCTCCAACTTAATTGGTTCTCTTCACTCTCGCCCCCTAAGGCTCTCAGCTCCCAGGGAGGATGGGCACTCAGCCTGCCTGCCACCTCTCCTTGCATTGACCAACGTTTGATGCAGGCACATTGCTGGACAGTGGGAATAGTGGAGACAGACCTATATGTGCCATTACACTGAGGTGAACATTAAGAGTTATATACACAGTGCCACTAAGGAGCTCTGGTAGCGTAGTGGTTACAAATCGGGCTGTGAACCGCAAGGTCAACAGTGCGAAACTACCAGCTGTTCCGCAGAGAACGATGAGGCTTTCTGCTCCAGTAAAGATTTACAGCCTTGGAAACCCTGTAAGGTCGCTATGTGTTGGAACCTACTCCACGGCACATAACAACAACAACAACAACAACACAGTGCGACTGAGGAAGAAGCTTCCTGCTCGGCCTTGAATTCAAGTTTCCTCAGCTAGAGAAGGCAGGGAAGGACTTCTAGGCTGGGCAAAGGTTGAGGTAAGAGTTCTGAAAGGATGATTTGTTTGGGTGATTAAGAGCAGTTTGATGTTACCTCAGTATATAGCAGAGTGGGAGATTATGATGGAATGATCCAGACAATGAAGGTCCTAAATGGACAGGCAAGGAGCCCTGGCATTGTAGTGGATTATGAGCTGGGCTACTAGCTTTAAGTTAGGTAGTTCAAATCTGCCAGTTGATTCATGGGAGAAAGATAAAGATTTCTGTTCCTGTGAAGATTTATAGCTTCAGAAACCCTACAAAAGGTCACTACGACTTGGAACTGACTCGGTGGCACACAACCACCACCACCACCAAACCTCACCAAACCTTCTTCTTTGATGTTTCTTTTACATGGAGGGAATGTTATTGGTTTAAATACTCCTGGCTTCTCTCTAACCCTCATTCCTTACCCGGGGAGCAGATGGCACTTCCTTGGCTGCTGAACCTGGGCATGCAGAGCTTTGCCTCTTCTTATCTTTCCCTCTAGCTATGCGGACTCCTGGGTGGAGTTATAGAATCAGCATTGGACTGCAAACCACAAGGTCGGCAGTTCAAACCCACCAGCTGCTCCTGTGAAACCCTATGAAGGGTCACTGAGAGTCAGAATTGCCTTGACAGCATTTCACAACAAAAACATGAGGCTGCTAAAAGCGTGTTTACCCTCTAGTCTGCTTCTCCATGCTCTGAGTTTACAAGGACCAGACCCCTAGCTGAGCCCTAAGCATACCCACCCTGTGAGTAGGCCTACTTCCTGGGACTAGAGGGCTGTTGTTGGTGTCACCTGCCATTGGGTTGGCTCCAGATAATAACGTCATGCAAAACAGACGAAATCCCTGTCTGTTTCCTTACCAGCTTCACACTAATTGCTAGGTTTGAGTCCACTGTTGTGGCTACTGCAGACACTTCTAACCTAAGGGGCTCACCTTCCATATACCGGATAACATTCTCTTGTGATCCACAATGTTTTCACTGGCTCATTTCTAAGCAGATACCAGGGTTTGTCTTACATTAGAATTTCTGCTGAAACCTGTCTACCATGGGTAACCCTGCTGGAACTTGAAATACCAGTGGCATAGCTTCCAATGTTGTAGCAACACACAATTAGCCCTCGGGCCTATAAGGCCGTAAAATCATTTGGCCAAGGCAACAGTAGTTCCAGCCATCACACTGTTGTTTTGTTATGTGCCGTGGAGTCGGTTCTGACTCATAGTGATCCTGTACAGGGTTTCTGAGGCTGTAAATCTTTACAGGAGCAGAAAGCCTCATCTTTCTCCCATGGAGCAATTGGTAGTTTCTAACTGCTGACCTTGTGGTTCTCAGCCTGATTCGTAACCACTACGCTACCAAAGCTCCTTAAGCCATCACATTAGGGGTGAGTTAAGTAAATGTCTGACCAAATATAGCAGGCTAATTTTTAAATTGATACTTTTGAATGGCCTGAACATGGTGTTATAAATCCTGGTAGAAAAAAGGTGCCCCACTCCTGCTTTAGAGATATCTAAAATACTGATGGTGGGTCTGCTCTTGGTTGTTGTGCACCGTCAAGTTGCTTCCAACTTAAAAGTGACTCTGCTACAGCATAGAACTGTCCCCACGGGGTTTCCTAAGCTCTATTCTTTATAGGAAGGAACCCTGGAAGTGCAGTGGTTAAAAAGCTCAGCTGGTAACTGAAGAGTCAGCAGTTCGAACCAACCAGTTGCTCTGAGAGCCAACATTGAGGTAGTCTGCTCCCATAAAAAATGTGACATCTTGGAAACCCCACGGGGCAGTTCTACTCTGTAAGGCTGCCATGACCTGATGGCAAGGGGGTCAGCTGTGGGGTTTAATCCAGAGGAGAGCAGATCACCAGACCTTTTCTCCAACTGAGCCGCGGGTGGGGTGAAACCACCGACCTTCTGGTTAGCAGCTCTGCACTTAACCACTGCTCCACCAGGGCTCCACTTCATTGTAATCTGCGGTGGGAAGAGTAGGTGGGTGTGAAGAGGACACAAGATTAACTATGAGTTGATAACTGTTGAAACTGGGTGATAGGCACATGAAGGCTGACTGACTGATTCTACTTTTAAATATATTTGCAAATTTCCACAAGTAAAATAAAAGTGACATGTAACATGAGAACTTTTCTCCAAGATGATTTTTTTCAAATTAAATTTAAAAGGGTAGTCGCAAAATATTGAGTAGTATCTTCCTTTATTTTAAAGATAAGGTATAAGTTCCAAAAGGGGCTGAGTCTTTCCTTCAATCTCTTCTACAGGGTTGGAGAACGAAGCATTGACTTACCAGGAACCATGCTGAGGGAGGTAGGTAGACACAGATGGAACTTATCAAACAGTTTGTGTTCTCAGTGAAGTTAGACTCACACAGACATTGTCGTTGTTGTTGTGATATGCCGTGGAGTTGGTTCAGGTGAATAAAAAATCGTCAGTGTAAAGGAGACGTGTGCTGTGTGTGGAGTCCTGGTGTGGCGCTGCGGGTTAATGCGCTGGACTGCAAAGTCGGTTTGATCCAAAAGGTCGGCGGTTCAAGCTCACCAGTTACTCTTAGAAAACCCTATACAGGGTCGCTATGGGTTGGAACCAACTTGACAGCACTTAACAACAATATGCTCTGTGTAAAATAACAACACAGAATGTAAAGCTTCCTAAGGACTTGGAGACTGGGCTAACTTCCTATCATAGTAGAGGCTCTCCTTACACACGGCTGGGACGATAAAGTCCACTCTTGGGAGAAATCACTTAATCTTACGACTTTCGAAAACGTCTACTGCCTACACATTACAGCACATCACTTTGTACATAAACTCTTGTAGAGAGATATGTATGCTAAAATGTGTACCGATCTTCGATGAGGAAAAGGGCCCTGAAACTGGCCCCCTTCTTCATGCGGCACTTAAATTCTTTGCAGGTGTGGGTGGATAAATGTATATACGGCACACCTGCTGAGGGCATCGGACTGGATCCTGCTAAGGTGACCCATTTCAGGAGCTGTGTGGTCCCCTGAACACATAGAACAACTCTTCTATGAATTTCTAAGGAATCTTGGTGCACAGGAGGACTGATTTTTTTTTTTTCCTTTTTCTACAAGGTAGCATGAAAGTTTAGCTAATGCTTTTAGGTAAAAACAGTACTGTCTTACCACGCAAAGAAGCCAAAGCACAACATAGAGTATTTGGGTCTTGGAGAAGAGATCTTGTCCGAATTTTATGCACACGATAGCTTCCAGGAAACCAATGACCCTAGTTAAACAGAGAATAAGAGATTAAACATTAACTCATCTTACTGGAACACAGATTACTAGAAATACGCATTATTTAGTCACGAAGTTCAATGGTCAGAAAATTTCCACACCAACCACTAGTGGTAGGTACCCACAGAATGTTCTGTCCACTGTGCTTTCTTTAGAAATAAATTTCCTAACTACTCCTTACTCCCAGACCAAAAGCTCAACTGAGACAATCTAATAGCTGGATGGCCGGTGAGAGAGGGTATCATATGAGTACTAACAATGGGCCCCGTGGGTGGGACATGCTGTCCCCATAGAGGGGGTAGCTACTTGGGGTTCTGGGAGTTGCTGATGTTTTCCCAAGGGACCATATGTGGTGGGGAGGGGAGAGTACTCCCTAAACTGAGAGCAACTGAGACTCTGGAGAGGGGTGTGGGGAGGGTGAGCGCTGTTAGGGGCATGCTGACTTTACAGGCATTATCTGAGTTTTTCAAAACAGGAATATATTCACACCTGACTTGCATAATTAAAAATACATTTTCAAAAGGCATTAAAAAAAAAAGGTTTCATCTACCTGAGAGCTTCCATGACCATGGAGGCGGGACAGGAGGACCCTGACACCTCCTGGATTCTAACAAGCACAGGGAACTTGCTTCTCCTACTGGAAAGTCTTGCCTTGCTTGGGGCTGGTACCTACTGCCTGTCCTATCTACCCAAGGGTCCTTGCACAGCCCTTAGCCACAGCGGGCGGATCAGATCCTTCCAAATGAAAGTCTCAATACCTTCAAGGCAGCAATTGCATTCCCTCCCAGCCTTCCATCAGATCTCCACACATTAAATAGCTTTAATAACATTCTTTATATATTTGGCAGTAAAAATCCTTTACCCTCACTTGATCTGTAAGCAATTTTGCTAAATTCAAAAATGTTAAAAAGCCAAACTAAACCAACCCCGCACGCCTCAACTTTGTGCTTTCCCTCTTTAATAACATTAAAGAGGGTTCTGGTAACGTAGTGGTTACAAGTTGGGCTGCTAATCTCAAGGTCAGCAATTCAAAACTATCAGCTGTTCCATGTGAGAGCGGTAAGGCGTTCTGCTCCCATAAACCTCGAAAACCCTACACAGGCTTACTTCGAGTCAGAATCCACTCCACAGCACACCAGCACCACCTCTCATTGGTGACTATAAAAGGGAGGCTGTCATTCACCTTCAGAGGTCAAAGGTGAGACTGAAGACGGTGAGGACCACTCAGGGGGTCAAGTGAGCCCACAGACAACACTCAATTTTGTTGTTGTTAAGTGTTGTTGAGTCTGTTCTGACCCACAGTGACCCTGTATAGGGTTTCCTAAGAGTGGCTGATGAGCTTGAATCATCCACCTTCACAGGCCATTCACCCACAGTGCCACACCAGGATACTCAACTTTAGGGATTCCCTAAAAGGAAGAGAAGGGGCCAGTAGGCGTCTCAGGCCCTCTGTCCACTGGCAAATACAAAGGTCCCTGAAGTTACCAAACGTGTGAATGGCTCTAAACAATGAACTTCTGGAATCAGAGCCACTCCAACAAGGCACAGAATATATATAGGGAGACTATCAGGAGAAAATCTTCTTAATGTCTCTTTGAGAGTCTGGAACTACCTTTTCCCCTGATGCTGAGAAAGGTTTAGGAGTGGTTGGCTGGAATCTCTGAAGCCTAGGCCCTCAATCTAGCTGTGGAGTGTGAGGGGAAACAGCAGCATTCAGTAAAGGGACAGGGGCCGACTATGCAGGGCAGGGCTGGGTTTCTCAGACTTAAGTCTACACAGTGCTCCAACACCAGATGGCAGCTCAACGTCTGTTTCTCCCAGGTTGTAGGGAGAGGAGTAGTGATTTAAAATTTAAAAAAGAATGATTTAATGTTGGTTGGGACTTCCTGAAGAATTCTTACGACACTAAGATCAGGAAAAAAAAATCAACATGCCATTTGTGTACCCAGATTCTGGTGTGGCACTCACTGTAGGATAAGCATTGGATCACAAGGTCAGTGGTTCAAACTTACTAGCCGCTCCTTAGAAACCTTCTCGATGGCACACAACAACCACCACCACCGTAAGTCTAGCAGGAGAGAGCTCTGATTATTCAACTAGATTAAGAGACAGAGGCATGGAGAACTGTAGTGACCCTACTCTCATGGCAAGAAACACTGTTTTCACTGTGACCTTGTGTTAACGCAAACACATACATGACTAAAAAAATAAAGTTTGACACAACAACCCCTACACTCACACAGACATATTCTACTCTATTTCATTTTAAGAAAACGCTGGTCAGGATGACCCACTCAGCACTTTGACCTAGAGATCAAAGCTTGGTTCATTCTGCAACTACAGGCGATGAGGTGCTGTTACTTGCTGAGAAGTCTTAGCTAAGCTGTTGAGGCCTTGTCACTGAGGCAGTGACAACTGAGCAAAGACTGAAACAACAGCAAGGAAACAGGCCTTGAGGGCAAGGGGCAGAGCTGTGGTCTGGGGGGTTACACAGGCCTTAGAGACCATTATGTTGTTGTTAAGTGCCATGGAGTCACAGTTCTGACTCATAGCGACTCTGTCTAGGGTTTCCGAGGAACAGCTGGTGGGTTTGAACTGCTGAGGACCACTCTAGGGCCTGGTATTTTAATATGACCACTTGGCCTCTGATCTGGGAACTGAAGTGGGGAGGCAGAGGTAGAGCAGGAGGATGATTAATTAAGAGGCTGCTGTAGTAATAATCTGCTAGGCAAGAGGACCAGAGTGGCAGCTGTGGCGATGGCGAGAAATGGTGGGAATGGGCAGGTATTAAGTCAGCAGTTATTGTCCTCCAACATTCTCCCTAGTTCACTAAAGGGGATCTTCTGCTGTTGGTAGGGGCTCCAGACTGTGACTCAGTAACCACTGAGTAGATACGGTATTCTAGGCTGTAATTTTTGTCGGGGAGTCCTAATGTGGTGCTGTGGGTTAATGAGCTAGACGGCAGTTGTTTGAACTGCAAGTCAGTGGTTCAAGCTCACCAGCTGCTCCTCAGAAACCCTATACAGGGTCACCATGGGTCGGAACCAACTCGATGGCACTTAACAACAACAATCTTTATGGGAGGAGCCATGCTGGCACAGTGGGTAATTACTTGACTGCCAAACCATTCCATGGGACAGAGATGTGGCAGTCTGCTTCCACAAAAATGACGGCAGTCTTAGGAACTCCATGGGGCAGCTCACTTGGTTCTTAATGGCTACCATGAGTTACGATCATGTTGATGACAATGGCTTTGGTTTCGGTTTAATCTTTTTGGAAGCAGAGTGCTTAGTCTTCCTCCCATGGAGCCGCTGGGTGGGTTCAAACTGCCAACCACGCCACCAGGACTCCTAACCTTCTTGTTGTTGTCAAGTGCTGTCAAGTCAGTTCTGACTCATACAGACCTTCTGAGAAGTAGTTGATGAGTCTAAACTGTTGACCTTCTGGTTAGCAGTCCAGTATTTATTCTATAGTACACCAGAACTCCAACATCCTTCCAGAAGATTAATATTATGCTTATACTAAGTGTCAAATGGATCCTAGTTTATGGCTAAGGCTAAAAACTTGGGCCCTGTGGGAGCCTGTTTCAGCCCTTACCTCCTTACCCCTAGGGACTCCTATCAACCTTGCAATGAGAGAGAGAAGTGGAAGGGCTGGTTGGTCCGGAGTTTGGGAAGACCTGGGAACTCCTGAGCACACGAACACTGAGCTAGCCACTGGGGACTAGAACTGAGAGTGAAGCATCCAGCGGACATGAAGTGAGGGGAGGCGCACAAGAACACCCAAACTTGCAGATGGTACCCATTTGACCTAGCTTACATGGTTTGATGATCAGAACTGGACTAGTGGAAGATAAAGAAATTTGATACAGGAAACAAGAGTAGATTGCTACAATTTGATGAACTTGACCTTTCCTTATTAGGATGTTGTTGTTGTTGTTAAGTACCACAAAGTTGGTTCTGACTCATAGTGACCCTGCACAGGGTTTCCAAGGCTGCAAATCTTTATGGAAGGAGAAAATCTCATCTTTCAGGAACAGAGGACCCTAGGACCACCAAGAAAGAAGAATATGCGTGGAACATGGGATCCTAGCCAGAGAAGCAGTGACACCAGAGATGGATGCAGAGATGATGACACGGAGAAATAGAGCAGCTGAGGACTCTAGACTCATGGAAAAAGAAAGGCTGTGTGCTGGTGGCCAGTAGGCAGTCTTGCACAATGTGCCCTTTGGTTGTTTAAATGAGTATATATCCCTGTGTGGTTTTTTGTACACACACAGAAAAAACAAAACAAAACAAAAACAAAGCAGGAGTAGAGGTAAACACTGTTAACCAATGGTGTGTGGAGGGGATTGTAATCATTGCAGTGAAACAAAATACAATTGGTTGAATGCAAAACTGATGTTCTCCCATATAAACTATCACTCAATTCCAATAAAACCTGTATTTTTTTAGAAAAAGGGGTGACTGGATGGATTCACTGTGGCTTGTACTTCTCTGATCCTCACGGTCATCCTAATCTTGAATCAGTAAGGACAAAAAGCCAATAAACCTTCAAATTGCTGGGGGTGCTTTTTCCTGGGCTTCCCTTCTCTTTGGAGCTGGTGCCCCAGGCAGGAACAGATGGGATTACTGTGATGTATTATAAGGAATGAATAAGAATGTAAGCAAGGCAACAAAGGATATTGGGGGTACAAATCTCTAGGTTCAGAGTGTCTAGGTAGACAAACCAATCCTGAGAAACAAAGGGAGTTTTGGGGTTTGCCAACAAGACTTGGCCTGGATTCTGAGGATGCCCACAGTACCTCCCTGTCACATTCAGAGCTGCAGGTGACATACAGCTTTAATGCCCAGGAAACAGAAGAGTCACTTCAAGAGTTGACTCCAGATATGTAAGCCATTTACAAAAAAAACCTAAAAAAACAGATATGTAAGCCCTTCAAAAAACGACCAGACAGCCATGCAGGCATCAGGGGGCGCTCCTGAAGTTGAGAAAAGTGAGGTTCCAGTTCTGATTAGAGTACCCAGACATCTTTTTGAAGAAAGTGATAGCCAAGCTGGCCCTTAATGGCTAGATGGATAGATAACACTGCAATTGTGTTCTGTAGTATTTTTCTGGTTTCCAAAGAACTCCTGAGGCTGGGGGTGGGGCAGGTAGTGAGTAGTGGGGTGGAAGGGCCTAGGTGGTATATACAGGACAGTTCTGCTCCATTGGTTTTTAGGTACATGAAGGGTTAGGGCAAGAATTCACTGAAGAAAAACTTACATATATATATGTATATATATATATATTTAAAACTACTGCCAGAAGTCTTAAGATGGCAACGGAGGCATTTCTGAGCTTGGGAGCAAGGAGTGGCAGCATGATGCTGAGGTCTAGAGAAGATGGCAAGACAATCGAGGGTAGGATAAATGAAGGCTGGAAACTGGGTGGGACACAGGCTGTAAAGCTATTCCAGCAGCGCCACACTACAAACCTGAAGCTGAGGTGCAGTAAGATGTGTGAAACCGGGGAAGTGGGGTGGGCTGCAGCCTGCTAAACTACCCTAGCAGTATGCACAAGTCCATATTCAGTTAGATCAGCACATAGTTAACTTGGAACTTTTTGAGGTATAATAATATTTCAGAAGAGAAACGTTCTCTTCAAGAGAAGAAGTAGACGTGGGGTGATGGGAAGGAAACCTCAGGCGGTCCTAGCTGACTTTCTCCCTTCGCCACCTCTTCCTTGCCACTTCCCATAAGACAAATTGTCAGACTTTGAGAGTGTCACCATATGGGCATTCCTACTCCATACCCTCTCAGCATCTCCACACTGGCTAAAGACCGAGATCAGGCCAAAAATTGTGAAAAGAAAGCTATTAAACAGCTCATAGTTGAGTTGCTAACGGTAAGCAGACACTGAAACATGACTGTTTTGAGAGGAAGAAAAAAAAATGAGGGTGCAGGGAAAGGCTGGGACAGGAGAGGAACGCAGGGGAAGGCACTGAGAGCAGAGGCTGTGTGGAGGCTCCTGCTTCACCTTCCACTTCCACTGACTAGCAAGGGACAGCTCTGGCTAGTGCTCACGCCCGCAGGTGGCCCTGCTGTTTCAGAATTAAGAGACGTACACAGCATGGCTCACTAGTCCTGAGAAGCTCCATTCATCTTGACATCTTTGTTCTCAGTAAACATAGTAGTAAATAAGCCAAGTGATGTTTCATTTGCTTGTAACATTATTTTATTGATTTTCCAACAAGGCACAACTTTGTGCTACCACGCTTTGGTCTAGCTTATCTTCGTCATTTCCTCCACTATGAGGGGTTATTCCTCAATGAGAAGACAACTTGGTCCTAACACTGCCCCTGTCTCTGAGCCACATTTCCTTTTTCTTAGTAGGCAAACAGATATGGTCTTCTACAAAACATCCACTCCACAACAGAATGAGGACCTTGTCCAAGACATCAACGTGAAGAAAAAGTCATGTGGAAAGAACACGTAAGTGTGAGAGGGGAGGAGCTCAAAGGGAGAAGGCTCATCAGTAAGAAAGGCACTTTCTATCACAACCTTGGGGTCCCACACCCAAGCAGGGGATAAGTCTGCTTTGCTCAGTGTATTAGAAGTTTGGGGAGAAGTGCAAACTTCTTAGACCTTTAAGCAAAGGGAATCTAATCCATCTTACCACTCTTTATGCTGTAATCACTTTGGGTTGGTTGGAAAATCAGCTTATACCACAGGATTTTAAAGGAACAAATGACAATGACGCTTTGTTTTCTAGGAAATTAAAAAAAACCTCGCCCAAACCTGAGTATCAAGATTTTTATCCTATAAAACCATTCAGAATATGGAATGAGATTTGGAGTACATGAGTGAACGCGCGCGCGCACACACATACACACACACACACACACAGAGAGAAAAAAATCAGGACGGAATGACATGGGCACTTGAGTAGCAATTATCTTTGAATGGTTGGCATTTATGGATGATCCTGAATTTCTCTGGAGAAGTTGCTAATCAAGGGCACTCAGCAGCTCCACTGGACAAAGACCTGGAGACCTGCTTCCATAGAATTACAGCCAGGAATACTCTACAAGGCAGTTATAGTCTGTCACATGGGGCTAGTATGAGTGGGAATCCATGTGATGGCACCCAACAACAATACAGGAGTCCTGGTGTGGCTCTGTGGGCTAATGCGTCAGACTGCAGTCATTTGAACTGCAAGGGCAGCGGTTCAAGCTCACCAGCTGCTCCTTGGAAACCCTATACAGGGTTGCTATGGGTCGGAATCGACTCGACGGCACTTAACAACAACAACAATCTATTCTTTTTTCTATCTTCCGTCTACCAGTTTGTCACACTTCGGTGGCTTGAGTGGCTATGACGTTGGAAGCTATGCCACCAGTATTTCAAATACCTGCTAGGTCACCCATGGTGGACAGGAGCAGAAGAGCTTCCAGACCAAGACAAATTAGGAAAAAAGGTCCGGTGATGTTGCAAAAATTAGAGAAAGTGCTGGAAGATGAGTGAAAGCACTCGAAATGCAGTGGCTACAACAACGGACCCCAGCAGACACAGTTGGGAAAGGGCGCAGGGCCAGGTAAGCATTTCATTTCCTTGCATGTGGAGTTGGATAATTAACAATTTTTATCGATACATACCTATTTGTTTTTAATTAAAAACAAAAGTCATTCTAGGGAAAAGAAAAAAAAACCTTATATAAGTAGTCATTTCTTCTCTACTACAAGTTTTCAGCAAATTTCCTTGAATCTGTGGCACTTGATTTAGAACCCTGACCACATTTGGAATCGAAGCTACCTCAAGGTCTGACTGAACCTCATGTACATGGGATGTCTCTGGTGGGATAGCTGGTAAATGGGATTGTAAATTGTTCATGTTTAAGCAGAGGGACCATTTACCTGAGAGGCTAATGAAAGACTCCCGTTTAACACTGTTGTGTGTATCTTCGAGTCGGTTCTGACTCAATGACCTGTATATGAGAACGCCTCATCTGTCTCCCATGGAGTGGCTGGTGGATTTGAACTGCTGACTTTGCGGTTAGCAAGCCAATACATTACCCATTATGCCACCAGGGCTCTTTCCATTTAACACTATTGTTGTTGTGTGCCATCAAGTCAGTTCTGACTCATAGCGACCCTGTATCCAAGAGTGGGGTCGGTTTGAACTGCTGACCTTGAGGTTAACAGTCCAGTGCTTACCCTACAGTGCCACATGATTTAACATTCGGGGGAGTGAGAGTGTTAAATTAGATAATCTACAGTTATTACCAAATCAGGTAATTAGAAAATTAAGATACAGCACTTGTACCTGTAGAAAGACAATAAATTAGGACCATGTGACTAGGTGTTAAATTCTATTTGGAAAAGAAAAAGTATATTTCAAAATAGATCAAGCAGCTGTCTTAAAGAGCTGCTTGGATGTTAAAAGTCAAATGAAGCTCATGATAGGATGGGGTCCCAAATGCAAGATTTGTTCAATCCATTTTCTCCAGCTTATTTATAGTAAAATAGGTCTCAAAGTTATGAGTGGGAAAAAACGTCTACATTTTCTTTTCTGTTTTTAAAAGAAAGCCACTTCTAAACCCTTTGTATAACTAGCTCTGGTAGTGTACTGGTTGTGAGTCGGGCTGCTAACTAACCTCAAGGTCAGCAGTCTGAAACTACCAGCCGGGATGTGGGAGAAAGATGAGGCTTTCTTCTCCTGTAAAGATTTGACAGCCTCAGAAACTCTATGCAGAGTTGCTATGAATTGGAACCATCTCCACGACTTACCACCACCACCATCACAACCTTTCTATAATTTGCCAAGTAACTACTCTAACCTTAAATCAGAAAATTGTTGTGTGCCGTAGAGCTGGTTCTGTCTTATAGCAACCCTGCATAGGCTAAAAGTGGCTGGTGGGTTTGAACTGGCAACCTAGTACTTATCCTACTGTGTCATACCAGGGCTCTAAAGCAGAAAAGGGAGTATTAATAATGAATGTCATATAAAAAAAAAAAAACAGCAGCAGATTTTGTTCACTTTCTTTCAGTAGAAAACTATACTGAGAGGCACTTAACACGGGGTCAAAAATAACCAAAGAAATTCCGAGGCTCACGTTGGTCTTAAGTGCCCTGACTCGTAGACTACTCACCCAAACACCCAGCACTGTGTGCCCACGCGCTTGCACTGTGTGTCCGTGAGGTAAGCGTAGTACTGTCTGAAAAAACACAGTCAGAATTAATTATCTTTATCATAAAATTAAGTCACATTGACAAAGTGAGTATGAATGATGCCCGCCTGAATCCAGGTTCCCAGGCTGCTGGCCTAGTTTTGTCAGGGGAATAGAAAGGCAGTACCTGCTGAAAGATCCCAGAAGAGGGGAAGAGTTCTGGTGGTGGTGGGGTGGGGGTGGGGGTGAGGCAGCTGGGTTTAAAGAGGTAGAGTACTGGCAAAGGCGGAAATTCATGTCACCGAGACCCAGTTGCTCTCTCGGAGCTTTCAACGAAGTCCCAAGTAGGTGTTAAATCTCCCACAAAGGTGATTCCTGAGGTCAGCTGCACTGCTTACTGTCTCCTCTGGCTCTCTCAGGGGCAAAGGTTACTGATCCTACTCAGGTAAGAAGTATACACATTCAGTTCTCAAAAACTGGAATCAGATTCTGCTGCCCTTCGCAGTCATTGAATGTCGATGATTTTTTTTCTCTCTCAATATTATTTTGTTGTTGTTGAAACGCACATACACTGATTCCACAACTTCTCCACGTACAATTCAATGACACCGATGACACTCTCTGAGTTGTGTAACTACTCTCAGCCCTCTTTTCTGAACCGCTTCCCTGAGTGTTCTCTCTAATCTTTGGAGTTGCTGCTGTCAGTGTGATCGCAGATGGAGAGTTCTTTCAAAGAGCACAGTGCTCAGGACAGACAGTCTCTACTGATGGCGCTCAACTGCTGTTTGGGTTAAAGAAGACTTCAGGGGATATTTTTGGATTCAGGTACAAGGATGATCTCAGAACAAGACTTTTGTGGGTTCATCCAACCTCAATGGCTTCAGAAAGTCTGGATTTCGAGAGCATTTGAAATTCTGTTCCATATTTTTACTTCTATTGATCAAGATTCCTCTACAGAATATTTAATCCAAATGTTCAGTAACAGGAAGCAGGCACCATTCAGTGCAAAAGAGGCCATTGTTGATGCATGAATGCCTATTGATTTTAAATGTTACTGACCAGCTCAGAAAAATTCAGGCAATCGTATGGTCTTTATCAAGGCTTTGATGGGTACTGCCCAACACATTAACACATGAGAGCCATAAATACCATTTAGAATTACCCAGTAGTCACATAAAAAAGTAAAAAGAAGTAGATAAAATATATTGTAATTTCATTATTTAACCCAATAGATGACAAAAAAATTGTTTTTATTTCAATATGTAAAGATTTACAGCCTTGGATGTACAAGGTCGCTATGAGTTGGAACCGACTCCATGGCACATAAAAACAACAACATGTAAACAACACAAGGAGTTCATGGATGATGCAAAACAGTTAATGTATCCAGCTGCTAAACGAAAGGCTAAAGGTTCAAGTTCACTGACAGGAGCCTTGAAAGACATTTCCCATTGAAAACCATATGGAGCAAAGATCAACATCCACATGGTCTCCATGACTTTGCAGTAACTCCATGATAATTGGTTTAGTTTTTGATTAATATAAAAAAATATTATGGAGATAAATTTTATACACATATGATCTCTGTATATATATAGTACTGTCTTAGAGAACCAGTATGCATTTCACACTTCATAATGCATTTCAAAGTGAACTAGCCACATGTCTAATGCTCAACAGTCACATATGGTGAGTGGCTGCCATACTGGAGTGTTTAGATCTTATCATTAATTACCCATGAACTCACTCTCTTCTTTCCTTTCAGAAGTAGCATCTGAACCAGTAGCTCATCATCTTTGGAGGGTCAGATACTCCTATGAGGATGTGATAATACAAAGGAATATAAAACTTGCACACACAATGTAGTCAATGACAGAGGATTCATGGATATGAACCAATTCAGAGGATTTATCCATGAACAAGCACCTCCTTCCCACAAAGTGCTAAGCAAAGAATTCTGTTATGAAGAATTCAGGTTTTGTTCATCTAACTTCATGTGCTCAATACCTAATCTGCTTTATAGCAATTCAGATACGTTACTCTCTAATAGCATTACATTGCACTTTGTATAATCAGATAAAAGGAATGTATATTCAAATGCTTTCTCAAAGCAGATTTGTACAAAAATCAATTCAGAAAAGTAAAAAATGTATGTGATTTATCCTGCGGCCTATATCTTCATCTGTCTTTGGGGTCTGGCATTTGCTAAATGAGACTCCCTTCCCAAGTAAATTTGTCAAAGCATCTTCTTACATGGGAATGTTTCCATGTAATTTCTCAGAAAGTGGCTGGCTTCTATACAAAAAAAGTGTACAGAAGAAATCCATAGATCTTGGCAAAAATGTTTGAGCTTTCAGAAGTTCAGAATTTTTTATTTCTAATCTTCACATTTTCTTTTCAAGTGTTTAACATTGAAATATACATGACAAATCAGGTATAGTTTATAAGAGCTTTTCTCTCCCTCTTATTGATTTGTTGACTGCTCCTACTTTTACGAAGGAACCTCTGCTAATCTTTCCTGAAGATAATGCAAGTCTCAAATTAAACAAAATTCTCAATGGGGGAGAGGAGCTCCGAACCATCACATGAGAAACAGTATTGAAAAGTACTTCAATAGATCATGGGCCTGCAGAGTCTCAAAGGGCTGCTGGCTTAACAACTATTGTTTTTCTGTGTTTTTTTTCAAAGGTGAAAATTTTCACCTTAGCTCCACAGGACTCAGTCATGTTTTACTTGCTTTTTATTTAATCCAACATCCAGGGATATCTGCTAATAAGAATGAATGATGGTACGAGATGCTGGCTGTGGGATAAATTTGGGGAGGCCTTGGTTTAAACCAAGGAGAACAAACACCCTGTCTCCTGTGCAAGTGAGGTCTTTTACTAGTATGGTTTGTGAGCACATTACATATGACAGCACTAGGTTATCCTAAAATTATGGAGAAGATAACCTTCTAACTGCTTAGTTTATAAGAGGGAGCCTCAGAAGCTTCGTGGAAAAATGGAATGGTTACGTGAAATGTCTGAAACATCCTTGTATTTGTATCAATTGTGTAGGTATCTCTGGTGTTCTTGCTAATCAATGACAAGACTCAAAAGAATATAAAACAGGTTAACTCTCTTCAGTGATACTGGACTTGTTCAGGATTACCTCACTGTGGGAGCCGTGATGCCACCGATAAAAAGAATTCTACACCAACTTAGAGGATGACTGGCTTGGAATACAAAGATATGTTTCAAGAAGAAGGTGTTCAACTCTGTCAGCTGAAAGAGAAGAAAAAGATTTATTAACTTGGTACTTCATGCTAAGTTAAGGCACACATTGCTCCCTTGATAGATATTCCACACTGGTATGTTCATAGCATTTTCAGAACATACATGGGATCTTCCAAGAGTTGCTATTCACATTAGCTAAAAACCACGACAATTTGTGCACTGACCAATCAAGGGGCTGGGGTGATGCGAGGGCCACCCAGAGACTTGCTCAGGTCATCCGCCATTAGTCCAAACAAACCCAAACCAGTTGCTGTTCTGACTCTTGGCAACTCCATGTGTTTCAGAACTGCATCCACAGGAGTTTCAAGGCTTTAACCTTTGGACTCCTGGTGTGGAGCTATAGGATCAGCACTGAACTGCAAACCACAAGGTCCACAGTTCAAACCTACCAGCTGCTCCTCGAAAACTCTATACAGGGCTGCTATGAGTCGAAACCAACTTGAAGACACTTAACAACTACAACCTTTGGAATATGTACTGGATCACAAGGTTGGTTTGAATGGCAAGGTTAGCAATTCAAACCCACCAGCTGCTCTTCGGAAACCATATACAGGATCGCTATGAGTTGGAACCGATTCGATGGCACTTAACACCCACCACCACCACCTTTGGAAAGCAGAATAGCCAAGCCTTTTATTTTAGTTAGTGGTTAAATGCTTAGCCATCTGTACCGCCCAGGGACTCCTGCTTTCGGTCCGGTGACGTGGAAATACTGTAATGTTTTAACAAGTGGCAGAGTTTTTCTGGCATGTTGGCTCCACGCTTCTGCCAAAGGCTGGTTCCTGGTTTGTAGGATTGTCACTTGGGGTCACCTGTGTGATCTGCTGATGTTGTTGTTAGGTTCTGTCAAGTTGATTCCCAATCAGAGTGACCCTATGCATAACAGAACAGAACACAGCCTGACCCTGCACCATACTCACGACTGTGTATGTGAGATTTTCACTGACCCTCCACTTTTCCATATGTGATGACCTAATTAAGTCTTTCCTAATAATATGTTGCTTCTAATTAAGTCTTTCCTAATAATATGTAGCTTCTAAGGAACATTCTGCCAGTTATTTCTTTCAAGACATATTTTTTGTTACTCTGGCAGTCTATGGTGCTTTGAATACTCTCCCCCAACACCACAATTCAAATGTATTGATTCATCTCCAGTCTTCCTTATTCACAGTCCAACTTTCCTATACATATGAAGCCAAAGAAAAAACCAAAGAACTAGGGTCAGATGCACCTAAGTCCTAAAATGGATATCTTTGCTCTTGAACACTTTATATAGATCTTTTCCAGCAAATTTACCTAATGCAAAATGGCATTTGATTTCTTGATGGCAGTTTCCATGAGTGTTGATTGTGGATCCAAGCAAAATGAAATCTTTGACAACTTCAATCTTTTCTCCATTATTTCATGAGGTTAATTGGTCTTTTGAGGATTTTTGCTTTCTTTGCATTGTCATGCAATCTATACTGAAGCTTGTAGTCTTTGATCTTTCATCAGCAAATAAACCAAATTCTCTTCGCTTTCAGCAAGCAAGGCTAAATCATCTACATAAGTTGTTGTTGTTAAGTGCCACTGAGTTGGTTCCAACTCACAGCAACCCTACGTAGGGTTTCCAAGGAGCGGCTGGTGAGTCTGAACCACAGACATTGTGTTTCAAACTGACCTTGCAGTCCAGTGTATAATCCTACAGTTCCACACCATTGTAGATTGTTAATGACTCTTCCTCAAATCCTGATGTCATGTTCATCTTTATATAATCCAGCTTCTCAGATTATCTGCTCAGCATACAGATTGAATAAGTATGGTGAAAGGATATAATGCTGAAGCATACCTTTCCTGATTTTAAATCATTCAGTATCTCCTTATTCTATTCTAACCACGACTGCCTTTTGGTCTATGTACAGGTTCCTAATGAGCCCAATTAAATATTCTGGAATACCCATTTTTCGTAATGTTACCCATAGTGTGTTATGATCCAAATAGTTGAATGCCTCTGCATAGTCAATAAAACACATATAAACATCTTTCTGGTAGCTTCTGTTTTCAGCCAAGTTTCAGATCAGTTATGATATCCCTTGTTCCACATCCTCTTCTGAATCTGGCATGAATTTTTGGCACTTCCCTATCAATGTACTGCTGCAATAGCTTTTAGGTTACCTTCAGCAAAATTTTAATATGATATTAATGATACTGTTTGATAATTCCCACATTTCATTGGGTCACCACTCTTGGGAATGGGCACAAATAATGGATCTCTTCCAGTTAGTTAGTCAGGTAGCTGTTTTCCAAATTTCTTGAAACAGATAAATGAGTACCTCCAATACTGCATTAGTTTGCTGAAAGATTTCAATTTGTATTCTGTCCATTCCTGAAGTCATTTTTTGCCAATGCCTTCAGAGCTGCTTGGACTTCTTCCTTTAGTACCATTGGTTCTTGATCATATATCTCTTGAAATGATTGAACATCAACAAATCCTTTTTGGTATAGTGACTCTGCGTATTCCTTCTATCTTCCTTTGATGTTTCCAGTGTCATTTAATATTTTGCCCATAGAATCCTTCAATACCACAAGTTGAGGTTTCAATTTTTTCTTCAGTTCTTTCAGCTTGAGAAATGCTGAGTGTGTTCTTCCCTTTTGGATTTCTAATTCAAGGTCTTTGCACATTTAATTTTAACATCTGCCTTGTCTTCTAGAGCTGCCCTTTGGTATTTTCTATTCTTTCTCTTCTTCATTTCTTCCAGTAACTTTATCTTCTCTATGCTCAAAACCATGCTTCAGTCTCTTCTGATGTCCATTTTGGTCTTTTCTTTCTTCCCTGTTTCTGTTTATTTAATGACCATTTGCTTTCTTCATATATGAAATTCTTGATGTCATCCCACAAATCTCCTGGCCTTTGATTAGTGTCTATAATCAAATGTGTTCTTGAGATGGTCTCTAAATTCAGGTGGGATATGCTCAAGGTCATATTTTGGCTCTCATGGAGCTGTTTTAATTTCTTCAAATTCAGCCTGAACTTGCATATGAGCAATTGACGGTCTGTTCCAAAGCTGGCTCCTGGCTTTGTTTAAGCTGATGACGTAGAGCTTCTCCATTGTCTCTTCCCACAGATGTAGTTAATTTAATTCCTGTGTATTCAATCTGGTGAGGACCATGTATAGTATTTTTTGTTGTTGGATGCCATGGAGTCTGTTTCAAGTCATAGCAACCCTGTACAGGGTTGCCAAGGTGGTATGAACCACCTACCTTGAGTTTAGCGGTCCACTGCTTTTCCTACAGCACCACACCAGGACTCCACATACATAGTCGCCATTTATGTTGTTATACATAGGCATTTGCAATGAGTAAGTCATTGGGCTTGCAGAATTCCATCATGTGATTTTCAGTATCATTTCTATCATAAAGACTA